GAGTCGGTAAAACTCATGGTTGCTAAACCGAAAAGTCCCAAGTTCGAACCCTCGGGTAGATGAGGCTCGTTAGCTGAAGACAGCCACTTTACAACCATTCATCTAGGAGAGACAACTGCTGCCTTGTAGTTTGTTCTTTGTTGGACAAAGGCTATGGAAGCAAATCCAAAAAGGAAAAGCAGGCTGAAATCAGAGTCAACTACCTAAATTACGAATAACCAATTGACACGTATACTTAATTTTGTCAGACCGCTAGCTTTAATAAACGGCGAAGGCGAAAACGTGCCGTGTGGAATTGTAGGTTCGGATCCCGTTGGTTTCTGACTACTTGTCTTTACATGGACTATTTTCTGTACCTTTGTCTACCCCTGGCGTTGAAATATCACTTTCTGTTAATATTGCTATTTCAGTTACAACGCCTGCTTCCACCCCCTCTACTTAATTTGCTGGAGGGGATCCCTTCCAACACTAAAATTAAAAACGAAGAAGGGGTCATCCATAAATGACGTCACACTCGTAGGGGGGAGTGGTGTGTCTGTAATTTGTGGACGATGTGTAATGAGGGGGGGGGGGGGTGGGTTCAGATGTTGCGACGTCACCGATTTTTGCTTTATAAAAAAGCAATGTTAGTAAACAAATTTTAGACGTTATTCGCGTTTCCGATAACTGTTTTTAATAAATTTGTAATACTCTTAGACAAGATTTTGGAAAAATATCGATGTTTTAAAAAAATTCAACTGCAATTTTGAGGGGGGGGGGGTTGTAGGTTGAGGTGTGACGTCATTTTAGGGGGGGGGGGTCTGGCTTTTTGTGACGACGTGTGACGGAGGGGAGAGGGGAGGTAAAAATCGTCAAAAAAGCGTGACGTCATTTATGGATGACCCCGAAGAAGTGGTTCATTCTTCCAAAATTTAAAGAAAATTAATTATTTTCTCCTTTTCAGAATTTAATTACATAAAAGCTTGTTACTAAAATGTCTTTTACGAACTTTGGTTTTAAACTTTGATCAAAAATGTGAATCTGTGTTAAAAAACTCCTTAACGCACTTTTTTCTCAGCTTAAAGTTAATTGCCTACAAAAGAAAGAAGATGAAATCTTCTCTGTTCCTCTCTGTTTCTCTGATATCAATTTGGATGGTCGCTGTTAGTAAACAGTCTGGGTCTTTTTTGCTCAAGACAAGTGAGTGTTTGAATCTATTTTTAGACGATAAAAAATCTTAAACAAGAATACAATCACGATAACTGAAAATAAAAAATAGAATCCTGAAATCATCACAAAACATTTGAGATACTCTGTGCAATATTAAAGCTTGTATCATAAAATTTGTTTCGAGAAAATTTGTTTCAAGTAAATAGAAGTATAAAAATTTCTGTTAGAAAGTTCTATGAATCTTGCATCATGGTACTTGTATTTTAAAGCTAATATACTGATACTAGTATAGGGGTCATCCATAAATGACGTCACGCTTTTTTTGCGATCTTTACCTCCCCCGGCTAAAACTCGTTTTCTAACATTGCTTTTTTATAATGCAAAAGTGTGACCTCACAACATCTAACCCCCCCCCCTTCCCCTAATCACACACCGTATCAAAATTACGGATCAACCCCCTTTTCTACGAGTGTAACGTCATTTATGGACGACCCCATAATAAAATTGTATGATTAAGCGTATCTCACGTAATTGGAAACAAAAAACAGTCTACAAAGATAACAGCATGAACCTTGTATCACGACAGTCAAGCCGCGTAATTAAAAAAAAAACTCCTACATGTCGCCATAGTTTCACCTGTGCTCACGTATTTAAAAAGGAAACTCCTGTAGGTTCAAATAGTTTCACCTGTGCTCGCATATTTAAAAAGGAAACTCCTGAATGTTCCCATAGTTTCACCTGTGCTCACGTATTTAAAAGGAAACTCCTGTATGTTGCCATAGTTTCACCTGTGATAACATATTTAACAAGGAAAACTCCTGTATGTTCCCCATAGTTTCACCTGTGCTCACGTATTAAAAAGGAAACTCCAGTATGTTCCCATAGTTTCACCTGTGCTCACGTATTTAAAAAGGAGACTCCTGTATGTTCCCATAGTTTCACCTGTGATAACATATTTAAAAAGGAGACTCCTGCTTGATGCCAATGCTAGCCGTGTGGTTACTTATTTTTAAAAACGCCTGTATTTCACGTAATTAAAAAAATCTCCTTTTTACTATTACAGTTTGTCCTGTGGTGACGTATTGAAAAACCCAAAACAACTCACGTATGTCATTACAGTTTGCCCTGTGGTGACGTATTTTAAAACAAAAAAAAAACATGTATGTCATTTCAGTTTGCCCTGTGGTGACGTATTTTAAAACAAAAAAAAAACGTGTATGTCATTTCAGTTTGCCCTGTGGTGACGTAATTTTAGCGCAATTTCCATACTGGCAATTGCGTTTAATAATGCGTCATTTCTGGATGGATGGATGTGTGGATCTCTCCGCAGCTTTAAGTCGTATCTCCTCCTCAACGAAGCAATATCGAGGACTAGTTCCAAACCAAATATGTTAAGCAAGTTCCGAGAATGATTGTGGGCCAAAAAAAATTCCCGGAATTCCTTTCTGGATTTCCCGGAAAAGCCAAAAAACATCGAAAACATTCAGTTTTTTGCCCATATCTCGACAACCAGACCACTTAGCGGCTTGAAACATTTACCAATCGATTCCTGCCATAATTTAGAACAATATTGCCGAAGAAAGTTTTCAAAAATATCCTTTCGTTCGGTCACAAAAATTTTAATATGTTTTTAAAACTAAGCATCGTGTAGGCCTAGGATGATATTTACTACTTTTTTAAACTGAGCATCGTGTAGGTCTACTCGTTAAAATAAAACTATTTCCGTTGATATAGGTTAATATAGTTGTCTTTTTTTAGCGCAAAAAAATATCCTTTCGTTCGGTCACAAAAAATTAAAAATTGTTATGGATAACGAAAGGAAATTGCGCTTAAATTGTCACTAGACTTTTTATTAACTTGTTTTTTAAAAATATCTCATGTATGTTCTTACAGTTTGTCCTGTGGTGACGTATTTAAAAAAAAAACATGTATGTCCTTACAGTTTGTCCTACGCTCAAGCACATGCCATCGACCCTGTGTCTCAGCGACTGCAAGTTTCACAGGGACTTTAGCATGTGCTGTGAAAACGAATGCGGCGGGAAGGAGTGTATGGTCGTCAGGGCATACTGCAGGTCAGTGTTGGGGTCAAAGGTTGGGGGTCACTGTTGAGCTTTGCTTTGTTAGCCGGGGTTAAGGTGAAAGTTTGTGGGTCACTGTTTTAATTTATGCTACGTCAGTAAGGGTTGTCTTATCAATGTGTAGGTCACTGTCATGTTTTTGATACGCTAGCTTTTACTTCTTAAATCTAGAACATTCCGAGTCCCTCTATATATATATATATATATATATATATATATATATATATATATATATATATATATATATATAATATCCTCAAAACTTTATTCTTCCTATCTAAGTGAGGACGGTAAAACGATCCCCCATCATGGACCGATGAAGTACAATGCCAGGGACAAGAAAGATTGTGGTACTTGTTGGTGTCAGAATGGAAATAGAGATTGTCGCAGCTTCCCTTGTCCCTAGTGTCTGGCATTGCAAACCATGGCTACCCATGTAAACAATTGTTTGTCAATAAACGGCATGTAGACTGTTTTGTTTTGAATTAGTTCACAACCGCTGTTTGTGTGTGATTCGTGTCTCAATGGATGGAGTCGATATGCTGTGAGCCCATGTATTGGGAGCCTTTTTGTCTGGAGCCAATATCACGGTAGGTAATCTGCCAATACAACCTCCAAATTTGCAATCAGACATGGTTGTCTCTCATATTCTTACCATGGGACGGCGTGGCCTAAGCGGTAGGGCGCTAGGCTACTAAGTCGAAAGTCTTGAGTTAGGGTCAGAATTCAAGTCAACCCAGCTCTGATGGGTACCTAACTTATGTTAAGGAAAGTAAAGGCGGCTGGGTAAAGTGCTGACAACACCATCCCTTCATATTTTGCAGGTCAAGAAACATATAATCTCTACTTCATCTGGGTAATGGATAACCAGGTCTAAAAATAATTCTTCACTTCACTAAAAATAATACAAATAAACCATTAGCCACGACAGCGGTCTAAATGGACTACAACATAAACCAACTCTTTAGGAGCTTGTCTCAGCTAACATCCAGATTTAAAATACAAACATTCATTTCAATTAACTCTAACAGATTTACTTCACGAACTAAGGAAACAGATACAATCAACGAGAACAAACTAGAGAAACAGATACAGTGTGACTAAAATCAGTGTTTCTTCCAGACTTTTTTCTCCGGGGGGGGGGGGGGGGGGGCACTTGAAATCTTCGGGGGGGGGGGCGGTAAACTTTCTCCGGGGGGGCGGACACTGTTAAAAGTATATATTTTCTATATAAATTATATAAATTTCATTTCGTTCGGGGGGGGGGGGGGGCGGTAAAATATTTTCGGGGGGGCTTTGTCCCCCCCGAAGAGATGCCTGGAAGAAACTCTGACTAAAATTCAATTCGTCTGCTCCTACTTGATACTTACCTTCCCTTATGTTTGTGCAAATCCCTAGTGTCTGTTTATCGCCCACTTGACAGCCACACTACACCCCCCCCCATAGTTTCTTCCAGGCATCCACCCCCTCCCTCGGCCCCCCACCCCCCGAAGAAAGTCTAGAACCCCCGCGAAACGGAATTTATATAGAAGACATATATTTTAACCCTCCCCAATCTGGATAATCTAGTCCGCCCCCCACACCATTCGAAAATATCAAATGCCCCTTCACCTCCTCTTCCCCTCCGGAGAAATAAGTCAGAAAGAAACTGCTCTCTCCTCCCTCCAATACCCCCCCCCCTCCCCATACTTTAAAAATCATTAGAACTACATTAAAACCACCGTGTTACTGCACACAAAAAAACTCATTAGGCTGAATCAAAATTTACGACCAGCTCACCAAGCCTGTCTTAAAACCAATTTGTTTATTTTAATATCGAACTAGCGCACTTAGTGTAAGCTGAACTATTGTGCTTCCCGTGTACAGGTAACGAATTTCGTAAGGTTAAACATCTATGTTATTATTTAGTCATATAGCTTTGTTTAGACAAACTATTTCCATCTTCAATTTGAAATATTTGAAATTTAGTCTACGTTTCTCTTTCATCTAATATTTTGTACTACTTCTGCCCTTTTGAATATCCGTGCCGAGTTTAAAATTAAACTTTTCAATGAGCTAGTCAAAGTATTACGTCATTCAAGAGGCCATATGCACCTCATTGAACAAAGATGATTAAGTCAAGTCGCATTGGTTACGAACTCGCAACTCACGGCATCAATATTTAAACCCCACCTACATACACAGAACAACTTGTAAAAATTTAGCGTTAGGGGGGCGGCGTGGTCGAGTCGGTAAAGCTCATGGTTGCTAAACCGAAAAGTCCCAAGTTCGAACCCTCGGGTAGATGAGGCTCGTTAGCTGAAGACAGCCACTTTACAACCATTCATCTAGGAGAGACAACTGCTGCCTTGTAGTCTGTTCTTGGTTATCAAAGGCTATGGAAGCAAATAAAAAAAAACCAGACTGAAATCGGAGTCGCCTACCTAAACGGCGAATAATCAATTGACACGTATACTTAATTGTGCCTGAGGGGATCCCTTCCAACACTAAAATTAAGAACGAAAAAGTGGTTTTTTTTTTCCCAAAATTTAAAGAAAATTAATTATTTTCTCCTTTTTAGAACTTAATTAGATAAAAGCTTATTATTAAAACGTCTTTTACGAACTTTGGTTTAAAACTTTGACCAAAATGTGAATCTGTGTTAAAAATCCTTAACGCACTTTTTTCTCAGCTTAAAGTGAATTGCCTACCAAAGAAAGAAGATGAAATCTACTCTGTTCCTTTCTGTTTCTCTGATATCAATTTGGATGGTCGCTGTTAGTAAACAGTCTGGGTCTTTTTTGCTCAAGACATGTGAGTGTTTGAATCTATTTTTAAACGATAAGAAATCTTAAACCAAGATACAATCACGATAACTGAAGATTATAATAGAATCCTGAAAATCATCACAAAACACTTGAGACACAATGTGCAATCATAAAACTTGTATCATAAAATTTGTTTCGAGAACATTTGTTTCAAGTAAATAGAAGTATAACAATTTCTCTTACAAACTTCTTATGAATCTTGTATCATGATACTTGTATTTTAAAGCTAATATAATGATACTAGTATAGGGTTCATCCATAAATGACGTCACGCTTTTTTTGCGATCTTTACCTCCCCACTCCCCTCCGTCACACGTCTTCAAAAAAAAAACCAGACCCCCCTCCTAAAATGACGTCACACCTCAGCCTACAACCCCCCCCCCCCTCAAAATTGCTGTTGAATTTTTTTTAAATATCGATATTTTTTCCAAAATCTTGTCAGAACTCTGTCAACGTAGAGTATTTTGAACAATTTTCTTTACAATTTATTAAAACTGTTTTCTAAAACGCGAAATAGCGGCTAAAACTCGTTTTCTAACATTGCTTTTTTATAATGCAAAAATGTGACGTCACAACATCTAACCCCCTTCTCCTCATCAAACACCGTCACAAAATTACGGATCCACCCCCTTCCCCTACAGTGTGACGTCACATATGGACGACCCCATAATAAAATTGTATGATTAAGCGTGTATCACGTAATTGGAAACATAAAACAGTCTACAAAGATAACAGCATGAAACTTGTATCACGACAGTCAAGCCGCGTAATTAAAAAAAAAACTCCTACATGTCGCCATAGTTTCACCTGTGCTCACGTATTTAAAAAGGAAACTCCTGTAGGTTCAAATAGTTTCACCTGTGCTTACGAATTTAAGGTTCACATAGTTTCACCTGTGCTTACGAATTTAAGGTTCACATAGTTTCACTTGTGCTCACGTATTTAAAAAGGAAACTCCTGTAGGTTCACATAGTTTCACCTGTGCTTACATATTTAAGGTTCACATAATTTCACCTGTACTTACGTATTTAAAAAGAAAACTACTGTAGGTTCACATAGTTTCACCTGTGCTTACGTATTTAAGGTTCACATAGTTTCACCTGTGCTCACGTATTTAAAAAGGAAACTCCTGTAGGTGACGTATTTAAAAAAAAACAAATGTGTATGTCATTACAGTTGGCCCTGTGGTGACGTATTAAAAAAAAATCTCATGTATGTCATTACAGTTTGCCCTGTGGTGACGTATTTAAAAAAAACAAATGTGTATGTCATTACAGTTTGCCCTGTGGTGACGTATTTTTTTAAAAATATCTCATGTATGTCATTACAGTTTGCCCTGTGGTGACGTATTTAAAAAAAAACAAATTTGTATGTCATTACAGTTTGCCCTGTGGTGACGTATTTTTTTAAAAAATATCTCATGTATGTCCTTACAGTTTGTCCTGTGTGCAGGCGTATGCCATCGACCCTGTGTCTCAGCGACTGCCAGTCTGACAGGCACTGTGACAGGTTTAGCATGTGCTGTGCAAACGAATGCGGCCGGAAGGAGTGTATGGTCGTCAGGGCAAATTGCAGGTCAGTGTTGGGGTCAAAGGTTGGGGGTCATTGTTGAGCTTTGCTTCGTTAGCCGGGGTTAAGGTGAAAGTTTGTGGGTCACTGTTTTAATTTATGCTACGTCAGTAAGGGTTGTCTTATCAATGTGTAGGTAACTGGCATGTTTTTGATACACTAGCTTTTACTTCTTAAATCTAGAACATTCCGAGTCCCTGTTTATATAATACTAGCGTACGTTAACAATCCTATATTCTTAGACGCGTAACCTTGTTTTCTAAAAGTGAGTCATTTAAAAGTAAACAATGCTTGCGCTTAGATCATAAATACCTACATTACCGCATGAAAACTTTGAGTGTACATTATACACTCACCGAAATAATATGGTAGAACACACTTCGGTGACCGCCCATGTGTCAGAGACGTAGAGGGGCGCTCTCAGCAGCCCCCCTCCCCCCGATTACACCACCGGCGGCGTACGACCCCTAGTTCCTTAAAAAAAAACAGGCGCCATCGTGCCAAATAGCATCCTGTTAACAATGATGCAAATTGCGTCATTCACTAAAGTGACACGAATGAACAGGATTTGTTATTTAACACATAAAAAAATTATTTGACGTGTTTTAAACATAAATGTGACTGATGCAATATGTTAGCGTTAATAATGGTCTATTCTTAGATGCTCGATCTCAATTATCTTATTGGATTATCTAAAAATAGATGCTAATTGCATCATTCACAAAGTGACGAAACTGGATTTTTTACGGACAAAAAGAAACACCCCAGTTAATAATCTAGCCTTGGTTAGTTTTTCTTATTATTAAAATAAAAAGTATTACATGGCCCAGAGCGGCCCATGTGAGCATTTGTGGACCGAAACTGAAATTTTTGTTTGCAGCCAAATCGCACCCTACCAGGGCGCCGGCGGACACGCCTGATTAAATGTAGTGATTGTAACGCCCCATCCTATCCATTGTCTGTCACGCTGTTTAGACCCAACGTAGTCGCAATAGCGCTCACGGTGAAGAACAGGGCGCCAATTGGCATCCTGCCGGTGGGCCTCCAGTGCAAAATTAAATCCCCCCTCCCACCACCACCACCCACCCACCCCCACCCCAGAAACCTTATCGGGAGTATTCATCAACTCCCTAAAGTTTTATGGCACCAGGATAAACTGTGTCGAACCGCAATCGTCTTTTATTTGTATATACCGTACATATAGAAAAATCGCACACTCCCACGGCGCCGCACTTGCAAAATTAAAAAAAAATATTTTTTGCAGAAACCTTCCAGGTAGTATTTTAATCAACTCCCCAAAGTTTCATGGCTATCGGATGAACGGTGTCAAACCATAATCGACTTTTATTTTTATATACCGTACATAGAAAAAAATCACACCCTCCCGTGGCGCCGCCCTTGCGAAATTAAAAATGATTTTTTTTTCAGAACCCTTCCCCAGAGTGTTCTAATAAACTCCCCAAAGTTTGATGGCAATCGGATGAACGCTGTGAAACCGCAATCGACGTTTATTTGTATATACCGTATATAGAGCAAATCGCACCTTCCTGTGGCGCCGCCCTTGCGAAAATAAAAACGACTTTTTTTTACAGAACCCTTCCCTGGAGTGTTCTAATCAAGTCCCTAAAGTTTGATGGCTATCGGATTAACGTTGTGAGACCGCAATCGACTTTTATTTTTATATACCATATATAGAGAGAAAACAAATCGCGCCCTGCCGGGGCGCCACCCCTGTGAATTTGAAAATGTTTTTAGCACAGAAACCTCCACAGGAATATCCTCAACATCTTCCTAAAGTTTCATGGCGATCGTGTGAACAGTGTCACTGCAATTCACTTTTATTATTTTTATATACCACATGTAGAGAAAAATCGCACCCTTCCGAGACGCCGCCCTTGCAAAATTAAAAATTATTTTTTTACAGAATCCTTCCCTAGAGTGTTATAATGAGCTCCCCAAAGGCTCATGGCTATCGGATGAACGATGTCAAACCAAAATCGACTTTTATTGTTATATACCGTATATAGAGAAAAAACAAATTGCGCCCTGTCGAGGCGACACCCCTGCGAATTTGACATTTTTTTCCCGCAGAAACCTCCCCAGGAATATCCACAACATCTTCCTAAAATTTCACGGCGATGTGATGAGAGGTGTAGTAATGCATAAAAGACAGACACACACACAAACATACATTGCTTTATATATATATTATATATATATATATATATATATATATATATATATATATATATATATATATATATATATATATAAACATAATATCATCAAATCTTTATACTTCCTATCGTAGTGAGGACGGTAAAACGATCCCCCACCATGGACCGATGAAGTACAAAGCCAGGAACAAGAACGACTGTGGCGATTGTTGGTGTCAAAATGGACAGAGAGATTGTCGCAGTTTCCCTTGTAAATAATTAGTGTCCGGCTACCCATGTAAACACTTGTTTTTTAATAAACGGCATGTAAGCTATTTTCTTTTGAACTCGTGTGATTCGTGTCTTATTACTAAAAGCCAATTTGCTGTGGGAGGCTTTTTGTCAGGAGCCAAAATTTCGATATGTCATTTGGGGTTATTTTGTTGGAAGCCACTTTGTCGCGGGTCTTTTTGTCCTGAGTTTTGTTTTACCGGCTGTTTTTTTTTTGTTAAAGGCACTTTCGTCAGAGTTATTTTGACAAGGTGTTTATATCGGGAGCAGATTTATCGGGCCCATTTTGTCATGGGCCGTTTTGACAGTTCACCGATATTTCATTATCATTTAGGATCACCGACTTTTGATGGTATGCTCGGCTAGACAGCTATTATCACATAAGCCTTTCTTACCCGAGGTAAAAATAAAACAACCACATGTACTCTACTTCATCTGCCTCCATGAATTTTCCCATCTGAAACATAACCAACTACTTTTACTGGATGTAACGCTAATTTACTCTGTAGAGCAAAGGCTCAAAACATTATGAGAGAACTGGGCTGAACAAAACCTAGTAGATACACTATAGACATTCCTAGTAGATAGATCTAGGTCTCAAGCCAACATTACACTGTAGACAACATTACCTAAGAGAGAAGGTCTCAAGCCAACATTACACTGTAGACATTACCTAGTAGATAGGTCTCAAGCCAACATTACACTGTAGACAACACTACCTAGTAGATAGGTCTCAAGCCAACATTACACGGTAGACATTACCTAGTAGATAGATCTCAAGCCAACATTACACTGTAGACATTACCTAGTAGATAGGTCTCAAGCCAACATTACACTGTAGACAACACTACCTAGTAGATAGGTCTCAAGCCAACATTACACGGTAGACATTACCTAGTAGATAGATCTCAAGCCAACATTACACTGTAGACATTACCTAGTAGATAGGTCTCAAGCCAACATTACACTGTAGACAACACTACCTAGTAGATAGGTCTCAAGCCAACATTACACGGTAGACATTACCTAGTAGATAGATCTCAAGCCAACATTACACTGTAGACATTACCTAGTAGATAGGTCTCAAGCCAACATTACACTGTAGACAACACTACCTAGTAGATAGGTCTCAAGCCAACATTACACGGTAGACATTACCTAGTAGATAGATCTCAAGCCAACATTAAACTGTAGACATTACCTAGTAGATAGTTCTCAAGCCAACATTACACTGTAGACAACATTACCTAGTAGATAGGTCTCAAGCCAACATTACACTGTAGACATTACCTAGTAGATAGGTCTCAAGCCAACATTACACTGTAGACAACATTACCTAGTAGATAGGTCTCAAGCCAACATTACACTGTAGACATTACCTAGTTGATAGGTCTCAAGCCAACATTACACTGTAGACATTACCTAGTAGATAGGTCTCAAGCCAACATTACACTGTAGACAACATTACCTAGTAGATAGGTCTCAAGCCAACATTACACTGTAGACATTACCTAGTAGATAGGTCTCAAGCCAACATTACACTGTAGACATTACCTAGTAGATAGGTCTCAAGCCAACATTACACTGTAGACATTACCTAGTAGATAGGTCTCAAGCCAACATTACACTGTAGACAACATTACCTAGTAGATAGGTCTCAAGCCAACATTACACTGTAGACAACATTACCTAGTAGATAGGTCTCAAGCCAACATTACACTGTAGACATTACCTAGTAGATAGGTCTCAAGCCAACATTACACTGTAGACAACATTACCTAGTAGATAGGTCTCAAGCCAACATTACACTGTAGACATTACCTAGTAGATAGGTCTCAAGCCAACATTACATGGTAGACAACATTACCTAGTAGATAGGTCTCAAGCCAACATTACACTGTAGACAACACTACCTAGTAGATAGGTCTCAAGCCAACATTACACTGTAGACATTACCTAGTAGATAGGTCTCAAGCCAACATTACACTGTAGACAACACTACCTAGTAGATAGGTCTCAAGCCAACATTACACTGTAGACAACATTACCTAGTAGATAGGTCTCAAGCCAACATTACACTGTAGACATTACCTAGTAGATAGGTCTCAAGCCAACATTACACTGTAGACATTACCTAGTAGATAGGTCTCAAGCCAACATTACACTGTAGACAACACTACCTAGTAGATAGGTCTCAAGCCAACATTACACTGTAGACATTACCTAGTAGATAGGTCTCAAGCCAACATACATTACACTGTAGACAACACTACCTAGTAGATAGGTCTCAAGCCAACATTACACTGTAGACATTACCTAGTAGATAGGTCTCAAGCCAACATTACACTGTAGATAACATTACCTAGTAGATAGGTCTCAAGCCAACATTACACTGTAGACAACACTACCTAGTAGATAGGTCTCAAGCCAACATTACACGGTAGACATTACCTAGTAGATAGATCTCAAGCCAACATTACACTGTAGACATTACCTAGTAGATAGGTCTCAAGCCAACATTACACTGTAGACATTACCTAGTAGATAGGTCTCAAGCCAACATTACACTGTAGACATTACCTAGTAGATAGGTCTCAAGCCAACATTACACTGTAGACAACATTACCTAGTAGATAGGTCTTTAAGCGATCCTTACAGATATAAACAGATACATTGTAGACAACATTTGTCGCCAGAACAAAACAGACAATACAAACTCCAAATAGCAATCAAAGTGGTCAACTGTATACACCTTGTATAAACTTTTGTGCGGCGTGGCCAAAGCCGTAGAACGCTAGGCCGCTAACCCGAAAGTCTGGAGTTCGTGTCCGGGTTGAAGTCAGTAGAACGTCCCGGATTCTAACCTGCTCGCATTGAAAATGCCTTTGTAAAGATATTAAACAAAATTCTGCCTCTGGTAAGGCACATCAAACTAATTTTTTTTAACCTGCACTTGAAACCTTCTTAGATAAAAATGTAAAAAAAAAACGTTTTCTACTAATTTTCAATTTTTTATCAATACAATTATTCTTTCTTCACCATGTATTTTTAATTTTTTTTTCTTTGCTTATCCTCTAATAGTGTTAGCCTATTCACTGTTGGTTTCAAATTTGTTTTTAAAATAAACCGGGAGTGATCTCCCCTAAACTTTCTCGAATATTCTTATATAAAATAACAGGGGATGGGAACTCAGGCTATAGACATGATTTTTAATCCATTTTAAATACTTTAAGTTTTAAAAATAGAATAAAATCTCGTAGACAAATTAATTGCACACCAAGTGAACGCCAAATAAAAAAGCGCATAATGGTGCGCAATATTATTAGTACTTTTAAAATTTACATTAGTTTTTTGAGAAATCGGAAGTAGCGTAAATTACTACTTCCAGTCAACGGAAATTACTCAAAATTTAACAGAAGGTAGAGAATTAGATCTTTTACTTACATGTGAAATTTCATTTATCTATCTGAAATAGTACTTAAGTTATAGGCTTTTGAAAAATTCAAAGTAGGAAAAGTACCACTTCCGGTTATCGGAAATCGCTCAAAAGTTGATACGGATCTACGATTTCGATAAAATACTTATATATGAAATTTCATCAACGTAGCTGTAACGGTACTCAAGTTATCGTGTTTACACACGGACAGACAGACACACAGACACACAGACACACAGACAGACACACAGACATACGGACAAGATTGCAAAATTATGTTTTTCCGTATCAGTGAGGTGTAAAACGTCGAGATTTGTAAAAATCTCGATTTTTTTTTTTTGCACGATTACAAGACTTTCTCTATATTTTGTATATACGAGAAAGTAAAAATGTAAAAGCTTCCTAAACAAAATGTTAGACGAACGTAAAAACCGACATCCCAGCCGGCAGATAAACTCAAGAGCTCCATGTTAAAGCATGTCATTGCATGTTCCTATCTCTCAATCGAGACACCACCTGGCATGCATCTCACCAAAAAAAATTGTCGGAGTATCTGGCCAGTCCTGTGATAAGCAGCCGACAGAGCTCGTCTGCCCACACAACATGGCTGCCGTTCTTCTGTTTGGTGCCGCAGTTTTCTCCGTCCTGCTGTCCTCGGCGTCTGCAGTGTCTTGCACTGTGTTGCAGAATCTCTACTCAACGGTAAGGAACGTGCACACCTTTTTTTTAAACTCGGAGTGATTAGAAGCAGGGGGGTTAGTACTTTGTTGAGTTGTGATATGTAGAGTTGGACAGTAGCGTCAATTACATGGGCGGGAGGGATAGACTGTACCAGGTGATACCATCAAAAGAAGGTCGACACATCAATGGCTAAAGATATAACAATTTAGTCATACAACCCGCGGGCAGATGAAGCTCGTTAGCTGGGCACAGCCACACTTCTAGGAGAGACAACTCCAGCCACTCTTCTAGGAGAGACAACTCCAGCCACTCTTCTAGGAGAGACAACTCCAAAATCAAACAACTGCTGCCTTTAAGTTTGTCCTTGGTTGGTTAACGGCTATGGAAGCAATACCAAACATAAAAGCAGGCTGAAATCGGAGTCAATGGCATCAATGGCACATAACCAGTTGACACGTATACTTAATTGTTTTGGAGGGGATCCCTTCCAACACTAAAATTAAGAAGAAGAAGAAGATGAGTCTTTGACAAAGGATCGACACAATGGGTTCACACTCTGAGTGTCATCCCACCTAGTGATGCACAATTCTGGTATATGCTGGTAATTGATTTCGTTCGGGTAGGACGGTAGCATAGAGTTGTGTATTTGCTAAATATCCGTGTCTCTATCAAACTATGGAAATAAATAAAGCTTTGTCTAAAAAAACACACATTTGAAAATACTACATGAGTGATATCGAATATTCCTGTGATTATTTCATAAGCTGCATTAATTTTTCACAGCAATGTTTAGCCCACGGTGACGTCATGGAGTGCAATGGCGTCACGCTACCAGCGCTGCCATCGTTTGACGATTGTACAGTCGTCGTCTCGGACATTTCGTTTGCGGTAAGTTGTTCTATAGACATCATATTTGATTGTTTGCGATAAGTCATTCTATAGACATCATAGTTGATTGTTTGCGGTAAGTCCTTCTATAGACATCATAGTTGATTGTTTGCGATAAGTCATTCTATAGACATCATAGTTGATTGTTTGCGGTAAGTCCTTCTATAGACATCATTGTTGATTGTTTGTTGTAAGTCGTTCTATAGACATCATATTTGATTGTTTGCGGTAAGTCATTCTATAGACATCATATTTAATTGTTTACTGTACTTAGTTTAGTGTAGTTAGGCTATGTGCATGTGACTAATTTTTTTGCATGCTCCTTTGTAGTTCAATCGGCTATTCGGGAAAACTGTCGATCAGACTCTAAAAATAAAATTAAAAAATGTATAAATGTATCATAAAATAATGTATAAATGTATCATAAAATAATATATAAATGTATTACAAAATAATGTAGAAATCATTTAGATGAGCGATTAAACAAATCGTTCATGTTTGGTGATTTTAGTAAAATTTCTTCGAAAAACAGTTGTAAGGAAAATCACAGCAATATTTTCTTAAAATTTCTATTTTGAATCCGACACTTAACTGTTTTATTATTGTATTTTAGAATAGCTCTATAGACGTATTCCAAGACAACAGCCTTCCCTTTGGACTGCGCTACCTTGAAATCAAAAGCTCAAAGGTCAAGACCATCTCCAGCGGCGCCTTCAACCACTGCTACTTAACCTTAACCCATATCGACATCGAGAGGACGGACATAACCGAAATCCCTGACGCACTGGGCAAACTGACCCACATAGAGGAACTGGTCTTGCGTCACGTGGACATCAAGAACTGGAACGAACCGGTTCTACAGACAATCGGAATGTCCGTCAAACGCCTTGACCTGACCAACAACTCCGTCGTTGCCTGGCCGAGCTGGATCCAAAACTTCAAAGACCTAACCGACCTCCACTTCAATCAAGAAGGCGTGGGTTCCATCCCCACCGGCGCCCTCTCCCACCTGACAAACACACTCAAACAGTTGTACGTGGACGCCAACCTCAGCGCCATCCCACCAGACTGGACAGCTCTCTCGGCCCTGAAGAGACTCACCCTCGCCAACAACAAACTCACCAACGGCAAAAACATCCCCGTTCAGCTCGAATTCCTAAGCCTGGCTAAGAACGTCATCACAGAACTCAACATCGACTCCTTCCCGGCGAACTCAGTACTCACGGAACTTGAACTCGACTACAACCCCATCACCAAGGTCACCACCGACGCCTTCGACAACCTAAAACATCTGCGTGTGCTATCCATGGGCAACACACTCTTGACGCGAGTACCCACCGCTCTGGCAGTACTCACCCATATGACCCAGATTGACATGCGAGACAACGCGGCCCTGGTCTGCACGTGCGAGGAAAAAAGTCTGGTCAACTTTTTCATGCAGGATCCAACCATGTCTATAGGTGGATCGTGTGGTGAAGTCACCATTAAAATCTTTTTTACTTTCGTAGCTCAAGCCTGTCCATAAAAATATATACTCATTAAAAATGCATTTTACTATTTACATTATCTTTTTACAAGCTTTATTTCACTTGTTTCCTTAGTCTTTTGGTCTTTCTGTACAGATCGAAATGGGCGGGCAAAATTTCGAGCACTTTTAACCAATCAATTTCTCTGAAATTCGGCACGTGGGTCAGTTGAGTTAATTGGATAACTAATTAATTATTTATACAATAATTTACAAATTTCTGACATTAGTTATTTAACTAGTAGTGTATTGTTATATGTATAAAGAAAATAATTTAATCTCTCTTTTAGTGCATTATTACATAAAAGCTCGTTATTAAAACGTTTATTATTCAATTAATTAATGTTATATTTGACATTAATCATAATCAAAACTGAAAATAAAGAAAGCGACCATAAGATGTGCCCACGCACATAAAAAACACTAATTTGTTGGTAAAATGTGTAAACAACAAAAACCTATAACAAAAGCCCGATAGCGACATTCTTATAGGAGTTGCACACTTACCCTTTGAACCTGAGGATCGATTGGAAAGATAGAGTTCACCTGTTTCTGTGACCTCGGCATACGAGGGGATAGTGTGGTCAGGACTTTTCCCAGTCGCCTTTAATTTCTTTAAATTGAGTTGGGTACCCATCAGAGCTGGATGGACTCATGTACGGCCTACTTAAGCTACCCACGATACGAACACGATACTTCCGGGTTAGTATGACAGACATTCATTAAAAACATGATAGTATTATAATTATTTCCCTTAAAATTACCTTCCATACCATCAAAAGTTAAATAATGTAATTGTACTATGAATTAAAATTAGTGTTTAATCTCATTAATTAAGAAATAAGGGATTCTTCTAAATATCCTACTAGGGCTTATGGTTTCTGGGTAAATTAGAAATTTTTTCATTCTCGGTGAGAAATTTCTTCGCATTTAAAAATGTATTGTCAATTCAACAAAAAAAACCACACCTGTCCTACTACCACACCTGTCCTACTACCACACCTGTCCTACTACCACACCTGTCCTACTAACACACCTACTACCACACCTGTCCTACTACCACACCTGTCCTACTACCACACCTGTCCTACTACCACACCTGTCCTACTAACACACCTGTCCTACTACCACACCTGTCCTACTACCACACCTGTCCTACTACCACACCTGTCCTACTAACACACCTACTACCACACCTGTCCTACTACCACACCTGTCCTACTACCACACCTGTCCTACTACCACACCTGTCCTACTAACACACCTGTCCTACTACCACACCTGTCCTACTACCACACCTGTCCTACTACCACACCTGTCCTACTACCACACCTGTCCTACTACCACACCTGCTACCACACCTGTCCTACTACCACACCTACTACCACACCTGTCCTACTACCACACCTGTCCTACTACCACACCTGTCCTACTACCACACCTGCTACCACACCTGTCCTACTACCACACCTACTACCACACCTGTCCTACTACCACACCTGTCCTACTACCACACCTGTCCTACTACCACACCTGCTACCACACCTGTCCTACTACCACACCTGTCCTACTACCACACCTGTCCTACTACCACACCTGTCCTACTACCACACCTGTCCTACTACCACACCTGTCCTACTACCACACCTACTACCACACCTGTCCTACTACCACACCTGTCCTACTACCACACCTACTACCACACCTGTCCTACTACCACACCTGTCCTACTACCACACGTACTACCACACCTGTCCTACTACCACACCTGTCCTACTACCACACCTACTACCACACCTGTCCTACTACCACACCTGTCCTACTACCACACCTGTCCTACTACCACACCTACTACCACACCTGTCCTACTACCACACCTGTCCTACTACCACACCTGTCCTACTACCACACCTGTCCTACTACCACACCTGTCCTACTACCACACCTGTCCTACTACCACACCTGTCCTACTACCACACCTGTCCTACTACCACACCTGTCCTACTACCACACCTGTCCTACTACCACACCTGTCCTACTACCACACCTGTCCTACTACCCCAACTGTCCTACTACCACACCTGTCCTACTACCACACCTGTCCTACTACCACACCTGTCCTACTACCACACCTGTCCTACTACCACACCTGTCCTACTACCACACCTGTCCTACTACCACACCTGTCCTACTACCACACCTGTCCTACTACCACACCTACTACCACACCTGTCCTACTACCACACCTGCTACCACACCTGTCCTACTACCACACCTACTACCACACCTGTCCTACTACCACACCTGTCCTACTACCACACCTACTACCACACCTGTCCTACTACCACACCTGCTACCACACCTGTCCTACTACCACACCTGTCCTACTACCACACCTACTACCACACCTGTCCTACTACCACACCTGCTACCACACCTGTCCTACTACCACACCTGCTACCACACCTGTCCTACTAACACACCTGTCCTACTACCACACCTGTCCTACTACCACACCTGCTACCACACCTGTCCTACTACCACACCTGTCCTACTACCACACCTGTCCTACTACCACACCTGTCCTACTACCACACCTGTCCTACTACCACACCTGTCCTACTACCACACCTGTCCTACTACCACACCTACTACCACACCTGTCCTACTACCACACCTGTCCTACTACCACACCTACTACCACACCTGTCCTACTACCACACCTGTCCTACTACCACACGTACTACCACACCTGTCCTACTACCACACCTGTCCTACTACCACACCTACTACCACACCTGTCCTACTACCACACCTGTCCTACTACCACACCTGTCCTACTACCACACCTACTACCACACCTGTCCTACTACCACACCTGTCCTACTACCACACCTGTCCTACTACCACACCTGTCCTACTACCACACCTGTCCTACTACCACACCTGTCCTACTACCACACCTGTCCTACTACCACACCTGTCCTACTACCACACCTGTCCTACTACCACACCTGTCCTACTACCACACCTGTCCTACTACCACACCTGTCCTACTACCCCAACTGTCCTACTACCACACCTGTCCTACTACCACACCTGTCCTACTACCACACCTGTCCTACTACCACACCTGTCCTACTACCACACCTGTCCTACTACCACACCTGTCCTACTACCACACCTGTCCTACTACCACACCTGTCCTACTACCCCACCTGTCCTACTACCACACCTGTCCTACTACCACACCTGTCCTACTACCACACCTGTCCTACTACCACACCTGTCCTACTACCCCACCTGTCCTACTACCACACCTGTCCTACTACCACACCTGTCCTACTACCACACCTGTCCTACTAACACACCTGTCCTACTACCACACCTATCCTACTACCACACCTGTCCTACTACCACACCTGCTACCACACCTGTCCTACTACCACACCTGTCCTACTACCACACCTGTCCTACTACCACACCTGTCCTACTACCACACCTACTACCACACCTGTCCTACTACCACACCTGTCCTACTACCACACCTGTCCTACTACCACACCTACTACCACACCTGTCCTACTACCACACCTGTCCTACTACCACACCTGTCCTACTACCACACCTGTCCTACTACCACACCTGTCCTACTACCACACCTGTCCTACTACCACACCTGTCCTACTACCACACCTGTCCTACTACCACACCTGTCCTACTACCACACCTGTCCTACTACCACACCTGTCCTACTACCACACCTGTCCTACTACCCCAACTGTCCTACTACCACACCTGTCCTACTACCACACCTGTCCTACTACCACACCTGTCCTACTACCACACCTGTCCTACTACCACACCTGTCCTACTACCACACCTGTCCTACTACCACACCTGTCCTACTACCCCACCTGTCCTACTACCACACCTGTCCTACTACCACACCTGTCCTACTACCACACCTGTCCTACTACCACACCTGTCCTACTACCCCACCTGTCCTACTACCACACCTGTCCTACTACCACACCTGTCCTACTACCACACCTGTCCTACTAACACACCTGTCCTACTACCACACCTATCCTACTACCACACCTGTCCTACTACCACACCTGCTACCACACCTGTCCTACTACCACACCTACTACCACACCTGTCCTACTACCACACCTGTCCTACTACCACACCTGTCCTACTACCACACCTGTCCTACTAACACACCTGTCCTACTACCACACCTATCCTACTACCACACCTGTCCTACTACCACACCTGTCCTACTACCACACCTGTCCTACTACCACACCTACTACCACACCTGTCCTACTACCACACCTGTCCTACTACCACACCTGTCCTACTACCACACCTGTCCTACTAACACACCTGTCCTACTAACACACCTGTCCTACTACCACACCTGTCCTACTACCACACCTGCTACCACACCTGTCCTACTAACACACCTGTCCTACTACCACACCTGTCCTACTACCACACCTGTCCTACTAACACACCTGTCCTACTACCACACCTGTCCTACTAACACACCTGTCCTACTAACACACCTGTCCTACTAACACACCTGTCCTACTAACACACCTGTCCTACTACCACACCATCTACAACTTCCACAAATTCAAACAGTACTTGCGAATAGCTCAATGGGAATTCCCGGAAAATTATACTTTAACACGCGTTTAAATTTACAAAAGAATTTCACATGATGATTAGCTTAGTATAAATGGACTTCGAAATTAACCATAATTATATACTATCTTTGATTGCAGCTCACAAGTTCTAGACCATTTAAAACAAGCTGTAATACTGCTAACGCGATATTTTATCATTTTCGGTGCCTGCCACTCATTAAATTAACAATCCCGAGATTACAAAGCCTGTCATCGTTTTAGAACTAATTATCTAAGACTTTGGTCTAATTATCTAAAACCGCGCAGCTGTTAAAAATCTTTTTGTCACGTGATATAAATGTGCTTAAAACCACACAGTGAATTTAAGTAATCTAGTTATAGAGGAGGGTTGGAAGTATTAGTTTTGGTGGTTTGTCTATAGTCAAATTGAAATGAAGTTGATAATTCTAATTAGTACGGCTTGGTTAATTAGCTCAATCTCTGCCGTTGATGCTAAGTCGTGTACTGTCTTAGAGGATCTCTGCAATACGGTGAGTACACAACAGTTCATGTTGACCAGTTCATGTTGACCAGTACAAGATGACTAGTTCATGTTGACCAGTTTATGTTGACCAGTTCATGTTGACCAACACAAGTTGACCAGTTCGAGTTGACCAGCACATGTTGACCAGTTCGTGTTGACCAGCACATGTTGAGCAGTTCATGTTGACCAGTTCATGTTTGGTGACCAATTTATGTTGACCAGTTCATGTTGACCAGTTCATGTTGACCAGTTCATGTTGACCAGTTCATGTTGACCAGTTCATGTTGACAAGTTCATGTTAACCAATTTATGTTGACCAATTTATTTTGACCAATTTATTTTGACCAGTTTATGTTGATCAGTTCATGTTGACCAATTTATGTTGACCAATTTATTTTGACCACTACATGTTGACCAGTTTATGTTGATCAGTTCATGTTGACCAGTACATGTTGACCAGTACATGTTGACCAGTTCATGTAGACCAGTACATGTTGACCACAACATGTTGATCAATTTATGTTGACCAGTTCATGTTGACCACTACATGTTGATCAGTACATGTTAACCAGTTCATTTTGACCAGTTCATGTTGACCAGTACATGTTGACCAGTACATGTTGACTAACACATGGTGACCAGTTCATGTTGACCAGTTCATGTTGACCAGTTCATGTTGACCAGTACATGTTGACTAACACATGGTGACCAGTTCATGTTGACCAGTTCATGTTGACCAGTACATGTTGACCAGTTCATGTTGACCAGTTCATGTTGACTAACACATGGTGACCAGTTCATGTTGACCAGTTCATGTTGGCAGTGCATGTTGACCAGTTTATGTTGACCAGTACATGTTGACCAGTTCATGTTGACTAACACATGGTGACCAGTTCATGTTGACCAGTTCATGTTGACCAGTACATGTTGACCAGTTCATGTTGACTAACACATGGTGACCAGTTCATGTTGACCAGTTCATGTTGACCAGTACATGTTGACCAGTTCATGTTGACTAACACATGGTGACCAGTTCATGTTGACCAGTTCATGTTGACCAGTTCATGTTGACCAGTTCATGTTGACCAGTTCATGGTGACCAGTTCATGTTGACCAGTTCATGTTGACCAGTTCATGTTGACCAGTTCATGTTGACCAGTTCATGTTGACCAGTTCATATTGACCAGTTCATGTTGACCAGTTCATGTTGACCAGTTCATGTTGACCAGTTCATGTTGACCAGTTCATATTGACCAGTTCATTTTGACCAGTTCATATTGACCAGTTCATTTTGACCAGTTCATGTTGGCCAGTTCATATTGACCAGTTCATGTTGACCAGTTCATGTTGACCAGTTCATATTGACCAGTTCATTTTGACCAGTTCATGTTGACCAGCACATGTTGACCAGTTTATGTTGACCAGTTCATGTTGACCAGTTCATGTTGACCAGTTCATGTTGACTAACACATGGTGACCAGTTCATGTTGACCATCACATATTGACCAGTTCTGTTTTTATCAACAGACGTGCAAGTATCAAATCTACATCACTGACGCGTCACTTCCGGTTCTACCATCATTTGACCTTTGCCCTTTAAATGTGTCAGTTATGAGGTTTGAGGTACGTTGTTGGTTACTACGAAATATTTTCGTACAACATAATTTAGATATTGTTCATTGCAACAACATTTTACTGTAGTATAAATCAAACATCTATACTAGGATACGCCTATATATATCATCATCATCTTTTCCTTTGTTTGTGCCCAAGACACATTGGGCTGTCAAAGAGTTCCCTCCACCTTTGTTGGTCTCCGATGATCCTATTAGTCCCCCTATGACAGTCCTACCTCTGCCAGCTACTTCCCCGCCCCACCTATATCAATAATGTACAGTTAATTATCAAACATTACGAGCAGAGTTTCTTCCAGGCATCCGCTCCCCCCCCCCTAAGAAAGTCTACTGCCTCCCCCCTCCCCGAACGAAGTGGAAATTATATAGGAAATACAAACTTTTACCAGTGCCCCCCCCCCATGCCGATAATATCAAGAGCCCCCACCCTTCCTCCCTAGAAGAAAAAAGTCTGAAAGAAACACTTATTACGAGTATTCTATGCTGTAGTAATAACTTCTCTATTGAATTTCAATGGTCTCAAAAAAAGGTTACCTACGATTTGTAACTCTATACAAAATGTCTGTTTAAATATTATTTGGACAATGTTCGTGTAACTTTGTCCATATTTTCCAGAACATGGACATTGCTGTCGTTGAGGACAGCAGTTTCCCAGCAGGTCTGTCTCTAATAAATATCGTCACCTCCACCATCAGAAACATCTCTGACGGAGCCCTCAGCTTGACCGCTCCGACACTGGAGTCCATCCATCTCGATAATTCACAAGTTCCCAATTTTTTCAACACCATGAAAGATCTCCCGCGGCTTGAAGAAATTCTTTTGCGCGACGTCGCAATAGCTCAGTGGGAATTCCCGGAAAATTCAACTTTCGCTTCAACGATCAAGCGTTTAAATTTACAAAACAACAGCATCACATCCTGGCCAGTCTGGGTTAACGAGCTTAAAACTCTGGAAAAACTCTCCATAATCCAAAACAAAATGAACACCGTCACGGAAAACTCGTTGAGCAATTTAAAAAACGTTCTCATCGATCTTACGGTCATTGCCGCGAATATATCAGCAATCCCACGTGACTGGTCAAACCTAACAGCGCTACAGAGGTTAACAATGGTGGAGAACCAACTGACCCAGGCTAGGGACGTGCCCTCACAGCTGATATACCTCAACCTGGAGAACAACGCCCTCACTGAGCTCAACGAGTCCACCTTCCCAGCCATGCCGGCCATCTTTGAACTCGAGCTGTCCAGCAACCCACTGACCACCATCTCCGCCCACGCCTTTGACAACATGCCGTCCCTAGGGTACCTGTCCTTCAGGTACACCCTGCTCACCCGCGTCCCTCTTGCCGTCGCCTCGCTGACCAAGCTCCGTGGCCTTGACTTCCAGTACGACTTACAGCTCGTCTGCACGTGCGAGGAATCGCCGCTCGCTGATTGGTTCAGCCGGAACCCGCAGCTCACCATTTGGGGCACTTGCGGTGACGTCACTGTGAAAGTATTTTTTACAGATCTGGCCAAGTTGTGCCCAGCTGCGCCGTAAACCTCACACATCCACCGTAAACCTCACACATCCACCGTAAACCTCACACATCCACCGTAAACCTCACACATCCACCGTAAACCTCACACATCCACCGTAAACCTCACACATCCACCGTAAACCTCACACATCCACCGTAAACCTCACACATCCACCGTAAACCTCACACATCCACCGTAAACATCACACATCCACCGTAAACATCACACATCCACCGTAAACATCACACATCCACCGTAAACCTCACACATCCACCGTAAACCTCACACATCCACCGTAAACCTCACACATCCACCGTAAACCTCACACATCCACCGTAAACATCACACATCCACCGTAAACCTCACACATCCACCGTAAACCTCACACATCCACCGTAAACCTCACACATCCACCGTAAACCTCACACATCCACCGTAAACCTCACACATCCACCGTAAACCTCACACATCCACCGTAAACCTCACACATCCACCGTAAACCTCACACATCCACCGTAAACCTCACACATGTACTCATCCACCGTAAATATCACAAATCCACCGTAAACCAATTGTACACATCCACCGTAAACCTCACAAATCCACCGTAAAACACTTGTACACATCCACCGTAAACCTCACAAATCCACCGTAAACCACTTGTACACATCCACCGTAAATCTAAACACTTGTACACATCCACCGTAAACCTCACACATCCACCGTAAACCTCACACATCCACCGTAAACCTCACACATCCACCGTAAACCTCACACATCCACCGTAAACCACTTGTACACATCCACCGTAAACCTCACACATCCACCGTAAACCTCACAAATCCACCGTAACCTCACAAATCCACCGTAAACCTCACACATCCACCATTAACCTCACACATCCACCGTAAACCTCACACATCCACCTCAAACCTAACCACACACCAACGTAAAGTTCACCTGCGGTAAATAGTAGTCAAAGTGAAACAACTCCACATGTCTTTGAGCGCAAACATATATTAGAGAAACAGCATAGATCAACAAACTCAATCTACTAAATGAGGGTAAGGTTACATGCAGTTTATTCTACGGCCAGCCTTTTCAATCTAAATCCAAACTATCCAAATAGACAACACTAACAGCCGCGTATGCTACACATGTTTTTTGTATGTTTAAAGTATCGCTTTTAGAGTTTTTAACACACCTGTTTATACCAAACGATATGTTAAACAATTATGATAGTAACATTGTTTTAACTAGGAGAATGAACATAAATTTCCTAACATAATTTTCCTAACATAATTTTCCAAACATAATTTTCCTAAGTTTTAAAATTTTAATAATAATTTTTGTACTTTACACACATTATTTTAATTGTTGTTGTAGTGTTGTAGTTTGTTGAGAATATAAATATAAATACTTTTTTTTTTAATATTTCATATATACATATACATACATATATGTATATATATATATATATATATATATATATATATATATATATATATATATATATATATATATATATATATATATATATATGAATATACAAATGAAAGATACAATTTTTATCCATTTAAAGATTTCCTCTTTATATCTAACAGGATATTTTGTATTATTTCACGTATAGTGTGACTAAATTTTAAATGTTTATTATTTACTCAATCGGTCGTTCTGTCAGTCGGTACGCAGGATATTTTGTATTATTTCACGTATAGTGTGACTAAATTTTAAATGTTTATTATTTACTCAATCGGTCGTTCTGTCAGTCGGTACGTCGATCGTCAGTCCATCGATCGGTCGGTAATTTTCGATTAAATTATCTAAGCTACTTTCTTTTTTTTTCTTTTTTAGAATGATAAAGGGAAGCAACTTATAAATATTTTCTAAAATTCTAAAATAAATACATAAAATTTATATAACAAAATAGAATATTTGTTTACTATTTTTAGAAAAATAAGTACTTTAATTTTAGTTTATAAAAGTTAATCAAATCTTTTCATTTTTGTTATTTTTGAATTATAAATTTAATCTATGTAAATTAAGAAACTGTTAGTTTCCATATTATAATTAATCAATATATTTGATCGTTCTGAGAATATACTACTCTGAGAATTTGAAATACTTTCCAGTTTATTTTATTTTTACACGTTAATAAATGTCCAATTCACCATCTCTCTGGAGAAAGAAGGCGTGGAGAGTCTGCCACGCTATATTATACTTACAAATGAGGCCAACAAGGAGAGCAGAGTCCTTATAATTCTCAATGGGAGGAGGGTGCAATGTTGCCACTGCAACACAGACAGGCACCTGCCTAAAATGTGTGAGCATTTGAGGACTCGCGCTCTTGAAGACGTCCAGCTAGTAGATGGACAGTACAGGGCAATTGAGCCTTGGGATGCAAATGATAAAGAAGAAGTTAGGGAGCATCTAAGTAACAATAGAAATTTCTTAAAGCATTGGGACAGTTATGATGTTGACGGAGAAAGACAAAATGAAATGCTCAGAGAAGCAAGGCATATAGAGGTAGAAGATGCCTTTGGAGTAGATGGCCAAACTGAAACACATCATACTACTGCAGCATCACAGCAAGTTAACGAAAGCGTAGCAGAAACCACCATAGAGGCCGAAGCCATGGAGACAATAGCGACCAGAAATTCCATAGTAACAGGGTCTCAAAAAGATGGGGATCAACAAAAATTTGGAGGCAGTCGGCGAAACAATAAATGATATTCTTCAAGATAACACCAGTTCGGAAAACATAACGAAACCGCTAAAGGAAATTAAAAGCTCACAAAGTATATCAGCAACAAAGGTATCATGTCAACTGTCATATAGTCAAGCAATCAGTTCAAGTAAAAAACAACTACCTACAGTAAAGCCACCTCAAAGGGTCGTGACCAGGGCCCAACGGGATAGCAAACCAGCGGCTGGAAAGTTTGGCGTTAAAAGACCACCACCATCCAGCCCTCCAGAAATAGATGTTCGAAAGAAAACCCCAAATAATTCATGCTAACTCTGGCAATATTGAATATCAGGGGGGCTAGGGACAAAACACATTATATAAACAACATAATAAATAAACACACTATTGACATCCTACTTTTACAGGAAACTAACATTGGAACTACAGAAGAAGCGAAAAAACTAGATGCATATATCAGTATTAAAAACTCACTGCACTGTACTGGTTTCAACTGCAGAGGATCCAGTATACTTTGTACATCAGACAAACACAAAATTAAATGTACATACACGGATAAACAGGGCCGGATAGCATGCATCACATTGGATATTGACAAAACAGAAATAACAATGATCAATATATACGCCCCAACACATAGACAAGAACAAAAACATTTTTACCACACGCTTAATGAACGTATAAATATCGAATATAAAAACAAGACTATACTTTTAGCAGATATTTTTTTCACAAAATACACGGACATCGAGTTAAAAGAAATATTTCGAGTAAAGCTAAGGCATAGACTGGGAATTCTCACTTAACTGAAACAAAAAAATGTACAGGAAAGAAATAAATAAAGTATTAATTTTAATTTAGACAGTCTCAAGCATCATCGCACACCCCCCCCCCCCCCCACTCAACCGGACTGGTGGATATTTCAAGGTAGCGTGCCCTCGTCGCCAAGGGTCAATTTTATGTCATGGAAAGTTTTGGAATGATAGATCAGTATGTGTATTACAGAGACACTTCTCCCACGGTCGTTACTATTTCTGTCCATGGGTGGCTACAATGTGAACTTTTGACACCGCAGCTAAGGACGGAGCACAGTAAACTAAGCAGTCAAGAGAAACCTAGTTTGCACACCTTATTTTAGTCTAGTTCTTATGCCATGTTATTTTCTCCCTTTGATTATTATATATGCAATTGATGTTCATGTCCTTGATGCTGTGTAAAATCTATCAAATAAATTATTATTACTGATTTAAATGTTTAAAACAATTGAATTAATAATGAACAAAAAATAAAAAAAAACTGTTTGAGGCCTGTATAGATATAGATGTTTGAAAGGGAAGAATATTTACCTTGATGTGTCTCATTGTAATAACAAAACTTTTCCGATTGCTTAAAATTTGTATCATATTAATTCTCTGTAATCCCAAATTTATTTCAGCTCTACTTAAAAACCCAAATTCCACCCTCCCCCCCCCCCCCCCGTCCCCCGTCCCCTCAGCCCACCACGCCGGGGAAAAAAAATTCCTTGAATCATCATTTAATTACACATTTTCAGTTTCAGGTTGGTTTTATTTTTATTTTTTTATTTATATCAATTTATGTTTAGACGTTTTGTATTAGATCTATGTATAAGTAAACTATCTTAAATGAATGAAAGCAGGCTACAAGTATGAAAGAAATATTACTATTGTAAATCTGTATCAGTCCTCACAAGCCGATGATGAAAACTGTAATACTAAAGCGAACACACAACTGACGCTGTAAATAACGTGTCTGAGGCGGGAAAAAAATAAAAAAATATACGTTTATTATTGTGATACTAGAGCTACCATGGTAAGGAATACTGACGCTGTTAATTACATGTTTGAGGCACACAAAAAATAAAAAGCATAATTAAACCGTTACATTATTAGAGAAAAATGGCTGGTAGTTGTAGAGTAAAATTTGGGCTCTATGACCGGCCTTTTATGTACTTGAGCTATACACAAAGAGGGCAGTCCTGTTTGGTAGGAAACAATAAAGGCTCTTCCACCTAAACTTTCTCTGCTTCGAAGACAAGCCCAAAAGAATTTTCAACTTACAGGACAACACCATATTACACTTTTACAGAAATATTACTGATAATAAACCAGTTACTCTAAATATAAATATTATGTCTGTAATTTTGAAGAATGTATATAAATATTTTGAGCTACAATCCCAGAAATCACATCCTGATGATCAGCTGTTTCAACTTACTGTAAACACCTTAAAAGAAGATGGTTTCAAGTTAAAGGCTCGTGGAGAGAAACTTAATGACTAAATAATGCACCTTCTGGTACACCAAAAGGAAAAATGTCTTTAAAAAAATTAAAGATCAACAAACTTTCGAATAAATGTAGATCGTTTATTCAAAGAAGATACTTGATCTAATTTCAATATAATACATTTTTTTAAATGTCCGAGACAAAAAAAAAACCCACATAAAAACGAACAAAAAAAACCGAAATCAACTGTATGTCTTTTAGTATTATTACATCGAATTTAACGACTAAAGTGCTAGCTTGCTTGATTATTGACAGTGGCCTGTGGAAGTAGGGTGTCAACCGGTGCGGACCTCGTGAAATCACCCCCCCCCCCCACCCAAAAAACTTATGTTTATAACTTATGGTTATCTATATTCAGTTATTCATACAGGTGGCTTAACTCTTATTAATCATTAAGTGAACTTACAAGAGCATTTTTCTTCTATAAATTTTGCAATGTTGTCTTGGTGTCACCCCTAAATGGTGACACTCGGTGCGGTCCGCACCCCCCGCCTCGCGACGCCTCTGCTTATTAGTACTTTAAAATGGAATCATTAGTTACTGGTAAAATAAATGTATTCAATTAAACAGCTTGATGTACAAATTTATGTCACATTACATTGTCAACCCATCTTGACCTGCGTAGCAAGTTTGAAACAAATAGTTCGGTAGAAGTTGGTAAAATTTCCTTTGCATGTCGGACTCATAGCGACAGATAAAGGCACGGAATAGAAATCAAGTTTAAATAAACGCTAGTAGAAACACTTCGAAAAACTTTACATTATTTTCTTATCTAAACTTGCCATTACAATACATTTTTTCAATAAACAATATTAAAGATATCATTTTTGTCGATGACCTATTTGATAAGAAAAAAAAAAAAACAACCGCCGTATTAATCAATCGTGTTAACTTTCAACGTGAAAAATGGCGCTAAACCATGCAGTTCTGCTCACTGTCCTGTTCGGGTCATTAGTGTACACCTATGGCGCCACCTGTTCTGTCCTGCAGGACATGTACTCTAAGGTAAGTGGTCCTACTGACAGACTTTAATCATTACAGGACATATTCCCTTTTCAGATGTAGGATTTTTTTCTCAACATCACAAATTTTGTCGTCTATGTTTATAGCAAACTTTGTTAACTTAAATGAATGTTCCCATTGTTTTTGTGCATATCTGCAATTCTTCAGGCGATTTTATAAATCTAAACTTATTGAGGTGGTTTTATAAATCTGAATTTATTGAGATGGTTTTATGAACCTG